CCCGCTCTACCAGGTCCAGAAAGAGAGAGCTACTTGGCACTTTCAAGGTCATCTGAGGTTAATGGCAGTAGCTCACAAACAGAAAAAAGGCAAGAGAGAAAAAAGGGAATAAAGTAAGAGCTGTGTATGTTTTTAAGGAAGATGATACAACTAATGTTTTGAGGGTGAAAGAATTGGCCAGGCTGGAAAAAGCTAGAAGTGAGACACCACTTTGAATCACAGGAAAAAAGGAAGGGGGTGAATGTTCAACATCTACATACACAGGTCAGTCATCTATCTAGATTCCAGGAGATTAGGCCAGAAACAAATCCAGAAAACAGATCTGAGGCAGTTAAGTCCCAGGGGAAAGGTGGGACAAATGTTCAAAGCTGGGTCGAAGATTCAGGGTATCAGTTCCAATAGAGGCCAAGGCAGGGGTCAAAATGTGAGACTCTAGTTAGAGCCCAAACTCAGGGAACACAGAGGCCACACTTTTAGCCAGATCCAAGACATGTAACACTCATTAGTTCTTTAAACCAGGATTGGCTCCAGACTGTGGATGAAAGTTGGGGTGAGTAGGGAGCACAGTGAGGGGAAGGAACCAAGCAAAAACTACAGAGACTGAACCAGAGTCAGAGATGTATATACAGAAAGAAAGAAGTCTAAAGTTGATGTGCCAATCCATATGAACACTGAGAAGTGACCCTTAGAAGAAAAAGGTAGAGAAGGTAAATCACTCACAGGGAAAAAAAGGTACACAGGAAAAGACAGGGAGAAGTCTGTGACCACCACCAGGGGGGCACCTCCCGTTCCAAGACAGCTTTGTTGATTTACAGCAGTGATTTTCATCTGGTATGCTGCAGCACACTGGTGTGCCACAAGATTTTTACAAATATTTAAAATATTTTTTCTTACTGATTTCAGAGAGAGGAAGGGAAAGGGAAAGATCAAAACATCAGTGATGAGGGTAGTGGATGGGGGGGGGTGGAAGGGGTCAATGGGGGGAAAAGGGGATATCTGTAATATTTTGAACAATAAAAAATAAAATAAATTTCAAACTATGAAAAAAAAAGAAAAAAGAAAAAAAAGAAACATCAATGATGAGAGAGAGTCATTGATTGGCTGCCTCCTGCATGCCCCCTACTGGGGATGGAGCCTGAAACCCGGGCATATGCCCTGACCGGGAACCTCTTGGTTCATAGGTTGACACTCAACCACTGAGCAATGCCAGCTGGACAAGAATTTTTAAAGCATGCAATACCTGACTATATAGTTAGGGGAACTGACCACTTTTCCCTTAGGTTGTCAAATAAAATGACAACAGCCAACACAACAATAGCAGTATGGTGTGAATGCTCTGCTTTGAACCATAAATATATAGGTCATATAATAGAGTTGCATCTTATTGATCATGTCACATGATAAGGTTAGATATGATTGGTTAATTTTTGGTACCAGAAATCCTTATATACCAGTATAGCCACCTGATTTTTACTTTGGAGCAAAAAGGGTAATTACTATTATTACTATTTTTTGTATATCAATCAAAATTATACCTATTTTTTTGTCAGGTCAGCAAAAAATACATTTTCTGGTATGCCACAGAATTTTAGTAATTAGTTCATGTGTACCATAAGATGAAAAAGACTGAAAACTGCTGATTTGCAGGATTGGGCAGTGGCATGAAGGAGGGAAGAGGACAATAGAGTAGTGTTCTAGTGGAGGTAGAAGGATTCAAACATACTAGAGTAACCAAAACTTCAGTTTTCTACTTTCTAGTATTAACGTTCTAGGCACTATTACAAAGCTAGCTAGTAGTGACAATTAAAAGGCCAGGTAAAAAAGGTTAAACAATGATAAAAGATAAGGGCAAGAATGAGAAGCAGAAGGAGAACCAGGAAAAAGAGGATGGGGAAAGAACAGTCAGGATATAATGGATTAGAAACATATGAGCCTGGCTGGCATGGCTCAGTGGTCGAGCATCAGCCTAGGATCCAGGAGATCACAGTTCGATTTCTGGTGAGGGCACATGTTCCCGGGGTGTGCAGGAGGTGAGCATACAGGAGGCAGCGGATCAATGACTCGCTCAGCATTGGTATTTCTCTCTCTCTCTCTTCCTCTCTGAAATCAATAAAGACTTTTTTTTTTTTTTTTTTAAAGAATGTAAAAGGAAAGCAGAAATCCTTTAATAAAAGAGAGGAAAGTGTGGAAAATCAAACTGATCTGTGAGGAAATGAAAGACGGGAAAAAGTCCAGAAAACATCTAGTTCAGGTTACATGATTAATTCCACAGTGGCTTGTCATCCTTTTACATGTCATCTATTAATAGGGTATCTACATAGTGCTGTGCTTTATAAACACACCAAACTGTAGCCTTTGCTCTTTAGGTGTATGCTAACTTTTGTCAAAGATTAAAATATGTGGTAGAATTTGAGGATTAATTTTAAATCATTAAATAGTTCCAGGTAATAAAAGAACAAAACTGTAGAACTTTTGAGCTGTTTCCATGCGGGGGTGAGGTGGGATGGGGTAATATTTTGAGATTAGTTGATACAAAAAAGATACACTTAAAGATACAGTTTCTTTAAGAAGTTGGATTTAAAAAAAAAAAATGATGCCTTATAAAAACAAAACAGATTAAAACTACCAGAATAAAGAGAGAGGAAGGTGGGAGAGAAGTACCCACACTCCAAAATCTATCACATAATGTTCATCGCGTTTGTCATTCTCTCCAGACTTTACCCTGCTCAAAGGTAGAAGAGGATTTTTGATTTCACCACCATACACTTTGTGATTGTACATGTCACTCAATAAATAGTTCATTAATTTGGGGGAAGCATCAGTGGCAATGTCTAAGAGGTGGAATACAGAAATGAGCTAAGGCCCTTTGAGAATTGAGTAGAATGCAATACTAAATACGAAATTGCAGTGATCAGTACAAATATCTAGGCATTCAGAATAGTTTTTCCAAATTTCTAGTCTGTTTTGGAGGTGATTTTTTCCCCTTCAGGCTTAGCAGGATTCTGACATACGGTAGAATATAACATTTCTAAAGTAGAGGCCTCAACGCTCTTTTGGAGTATTCTTTTAGCCTAAGGCGTGTAGGTTTCCTCCCCCACGAGAACATAATCCTCACACTACCTCCCTTTTCCCATCCCCCAGCTTTCTCACTACACAGTACGCAACCTTCCAGGCAGCTTTTCTGCAGCCGGGTAGTTGCAGGGCTTCCAGCCCTTCTTCTTTAGGGCGATCATACGTGTCCGTTTCCGGGGGTGATGGGAGAGGATCGCTCTTTCCGTACCTCTGCTGATTGGTGCTTCTCCTACCCAACCCTCCCCGAAGCACTCCAGCCTCCATCCTACTGGGTTCCAGTTTAACCAGACCCATCCACTTTCTTCCCTCAGAGAAAAGAGCCACTTTAGAGTTCCTTAGAGCTTCTTGGATGGGATAAAAGTGTTAAAGAACACGAGGAAACCACTTAATTTCTCTAGGCCTTAGATTTCTCCGGTCACAGCCCACTGGTTCTGCTGTACTATCAGCTCCAATAACTGAATTCCCACACGTGCGTCTTTCTGGACCTAGCCTCTACGGAAACCACCACCCAGCGGGCCCTTTAAAAGGTTGCAACCACTAAGGCCAAGTGGGGGGTGGGAGAGAGACCTTTATTGTCCCTACTCATCAAAGTCCTTAAACTCCACAGTCCCAGACACCTGAGAAGCGAGGTGCTCCCTTCTGCTCACTCCTTCCTAGGAGCGCTCAGTTCCCTCTCCCCTCCCCCTCTCTCCCAGCGCAGCTGTCCGGGGCCGGGGTGGGGGCGGGGTTGTTGTTGTGGTAGGGCAGCC